GTGTCAGGACGCACACGGAGGAGCTGGGGGCAGATGCGGGGTGTCAGGACGCACACGGAGGAGCTGGGGGCAGATGCGGGGTGTCAGGACGCACATGGAGGAGCTGGGGGCAGATCGTGGGTGTCAGGATGCACACGGAGGAGCTGGGGGCAGATGTGGGGTGTCAGGACGCACACGGAGGAGCTGGGGGCAGATGCGGGGTGTCAGGATGCACACGGAGGAGCTGGGGGCAGATCGTGGGTGTCAGGATGCACACAGAGGAGCTGGGGGGCAGATCATGGGTGTCAGGATGCACACGGAGGAGCTGGGGGCAGATGCGGGGTGTCAGGACGCACACGGAGGAGCTGGGGGGCAGACTGAGTGTGTCAGGATGCACACGGAGGAGCTGGGGGCAGATCGCAGGGTGTCAGTGCACACGGAGGAGCTGGGGGCAGATGCGGGGTGTCAGGATGCACACGGAGGAGTTGGGGGCTGATGCGGGGTGTCAGGATGCACACGGAGGAGCTGGGGGGCAGACTGAGTGTGTCAGGACGCACACGGAGGAGCTGGGGGAGTGTTAAATGGTGTAGCCCCTTCAGGAAGCAACCCAGCACTGTCAGTGAGACAGGACCTCTTCCCCAGCAGTCCCTCTCAGTCTGCCCCCAAGAGAAACCAGTGCGATTGTCCACAAAAAAGACAAGAGTAACATTGACAAGCAGCCTACCCCTAATATCCAGGAGCTGAAAACAACCCAGACGCCCATAAATAACTAGTGTGGATAAACAAACTCTGACATCTCCCTAAAATGCGCTGTAGCAATGAAGTAGATGGCAGTCCCGCTTCAGTCAATGACCTGGATGACTGTGTTGAATGAAAGAAATCAGCCGGAAGAACGCAGCTGCGGGTTCCCGTCCATGACGTTCACGCACAGGCAAGATGTGCTGTGACAGTGGAGGTCAGAGTAGTGGTTACGGGGGGGGGCTGTCAACGGTGGTGGGCACTGGGGAGCCCTTGGGAGTGGGGGACTGGAGCATGCTATGTTCTGAGCTGGGTGGGGTGGCTACACGGGAACAGACACGTGTACTTAAGGTCTGTGCTTCCTGGATGAGGAGCATCCTCACAAGGAAAAGAAGGAAGGAAAGGAAGGAAGGAAGGAAGGAAGGAAGGAAGGGAGGGAGGGAGGGAGGGAGGGAGGGAGGGAGGAGAGAGGGAGAGAGAGAGAGAGAGAAACCAAAGACGTTGGATACTTAACCACAGAGGAGGGGCCCCTGTCACCCCAGCTCCCAGGGTCCAGGGATAATAATGGCTTCAGGCTTTCTCCCTCCGAACGGCCAATATCTATTATAATAATGATAAAGTCCGGACCGCCCCCCCCCGTGTGACCAGAACCCTACGACCCCGCCCAGTCTCTGGTCTGGTGCCCGGCCAGGGGCCCTCCTCCCGGCCGGGGGTCCCGCTCCCACACTCCTGAGGGCTGCAAGCCTCGAGCGAGGGACCACCAAGAGGGATGCGAGGCCCCACGGATCCCGCCCTGCGCACCTGCGGCTTCCACGTGGGCCCGGCGCTCGCAGGGGGCCGGCGGGAGGGCGCCCCGACACCCCACCCCCCTGACACCCCGAGGCCCCAACACCGTCACCCCTTTGCCTCGACGCTCCTGTCCTTTCTCTCTGACACCCGCCCCCCACTGTTCCAGCGCCGGCCGGGGCGCTCCAGCTGGCGCCCCCTGCTCACCTCACTCACCCAGCGTGGGGTCCACCCTGGGCCTCGTCCCCGTGCACGTCCCCGAGCGCTGAGCGGGGCGCGGGGTCTCCTGGGGTCGGCGGAGGGACGTCCGCTGCAGGTCCCGCCAGGAAAGCTGCGCTCCGCCTTTGGGCCCGGTCGCCGCTGCCACCTGCCTGGCCGCCAGCTGAGAATGCGAGGCGCGGTTATTAATAACCCGGGGCCCAGGGGGGCCGCTGGAGGGAGGGGGCGCAGCGTTGGGGGACTGGGGAGGTGGGAAGGGCGGTGCTGGAGGGAGGGGGCGCGGCTTGGGGGGGGCGTGCGGGCGGGGAAGGTGGGAAGGGCGGTCCTGCAGGGCAGCGGCTCAGCGTGTGGGGGCGGTGCTGGAGGGAGGGGACTTGGCGTGGGGGAGGCGTGCGGCATGGGAGGTGGGGGGGCAGGGGGCATTGGAGGGGGGAGGGTCCGGCGCAAGGAGGGCTCCTGGGTGGGGTTGGGCAGAGCAAGAGGAGCGAGGGCTGGGGTCTGGGGGGGCGACGGCCCGGCGGGGGAAGGCAGGCACTGGAACACTAGGGCCGCAGGTCGAGGTCAGCCGCCCAAGTGGAAGTCTGAGCAGTGCTCACCCTGGATGGGACAAGGCGTCTCTGTTTCCTGCCATGGCCGCTCTACCTGCTCTCCTCAGTCTCCCTGAGCTCCTCCGACTTCTGGTTGTCAATCAAGCCCTGGACCTGTGTGCACGCTGCAGGGGGACGTTGGAGGTGGGGGGTCCGAGAGACTGAAAGGGCAATGACCCAGTGGCAATAAGGACATTCACATTGTGCAGCCATCACTATCTCCAAAAGTGTTTTATCTTCCCAAACTGAAACTCTGACCCATCAAATTCCTGTCTCCATCCCTGCGTCTTCTTTCTGTCTCTATGGATGTTACTCTAGGGACCTCACACGAGTGCAGTCATACAGAATTTGTCCATTAGTTTCTGGCTTCTTTCCCTTAGTACGACGTCCTCAAGGTTCTTCCATGGTGTAGCTTGTGTCTGAATTCCCTTCCTTTTCACTGCTGAGTAATATTCCGTTGTGTGTACGTTCCACATTCTGTCCTTCACTTGTGACCCTCCAGCCGTTCCACCTCTTGGAGCTGTGACTCTGTTCTGTTTAATAATTTCCTGTTCCTTCTATGGGTGCTGTTCTTTTCTTTATCTCTGAAAAATCCTAACCATCCTTATTGGCAGGTCTTTTTCAGATGGCTCCATCATTTTCAGGGAGCCTGGGACCCTCTGAGCACTGCTCCCCACTCCTCACTGACAGA